AAGTAATTTAAAACAATCTATTTAAAGTGATCTTATGTTCTGTGAATATAGTAACTAAAGTTACAACTAAACCTTGCTCTGTTGGTCTAATCAAATCTCTGGGGGAAAACACCCCTTACTATGACCCAGGCAGTCTATAAGCCTCCATACCAGTGAGAACAGGACACGTAATTAAAAATTTTTAAATCTGATTTATCAAAGAGACTAAATTTGAAATAAAAATCTGATAAATATGAATTTGTGCTGGTGCTCCTAATAACTTATGATACCATCAAATTTGGTTTTGGGGAAGGCACTCAGAAGCTAGATGTTTAAATTGTGAAATAAATAAAAGTGCTAACAACATTGTTAACAGACCAAACAAACATCCTAACCTTGTAACCAAAATGGCTCAATATCTATATAACTTGCCATATCTTCAAATAAGGAAGAGAATACAGCAAGCATTTAATGGTGTAGACTTAGCTATAAAAGTAAAATAGCTTCATAGATCATTTCCTACCTTCACTGCTTCTAAGTGATGGCCACAATACAAGATAAAAATTAAAGATGCTATTTAAGAGGACCAATGGATTTTAAGGTTCTTAGTTTTAGGAGATCTTTTTGCTCCTTCCTATCTCCCATTAAGTAATAAAATGTGTCACAATGAGTTTACACAATTAAGATAAAATTTGAGGCCTACAAGTTTGGTCTTATTCCTAATTTGATAGTTTAATAAAGACTTATAGAGAAGAAAAGCCTACCTACCTCTAAAATCTATCTTTTGAAAATTAAATATGTTCAAAAAGAAGAATCATTTCTACTGTCACATGAGTGTATCAACTACTCTCAACTCTGTGATTCCTAGTTCTTTATCTAATACACAGAAAAAACTCATCCACTATTCTTTAGTGACATGAAAGTAATCCTCCTTTATCAAGCCTTTTAAACGTCTTCATCAAATACTTATACTGAGTGATCAACTTGTTCTAGGAATAAATTATAATAGTAAAAGGTTTTTTTTAAATTAATTCAGCAAAGAATAATCAGTCACTACTTATGTGGCATAGTCATTCATTTACCAAGCATTTACTGAGCATTAAATGTCCCAGGAACTGTGGAAGCAAAACCAAGTAAGATATAACTAAGGGCTCAAAACTACCTCCAACAATGAACATCCACAGCAAGGAGATAAATACCCCAAAAGACCTCACAATTCCAAGACAGTTTCAATATGGCCTTCAGCATTTAATTGCACTAAATAACATAAAGGAATATATCTTCAACTGTAAACTTTGCAGACAAATTTTAATTAAGTTTAAAAAGTAGATGGCAAAAAAAGGAAGCACTATTTTTTTTAAAAAAATCCATATGATACTGTAAATCATCTTTCTCTTTAACATCTTGTGGTAATTTTCATATTTCCCATGTTTAGCGGAAATAGTTTACTAGTCTAATCGTTTTAGGGAACGTGTTTCAACAAATTCAAATTTTTTGTCCTCTATATTGCAGAAATAATTAAATACAAAAGCATGCACATTCTCTGAAAAGTAAAAAATATGCATTTATATTATTACTGTATCATATTTACCAACTGGAACCCTTACTTCAGAGCCCACATATATGTATTCTATTTTTTTTTTTTTTTTTTGGCGGTACGCGGGCCTCTCACTGTTGTGGCCTCTCCCGTTGCGGGGCACAGCCTACAGACGCGCAAGCTCAGCGGCCATGGCTCACGGGCCCAGCCGCTCCGCGGCATGTGGGATCTCCCCAGACCTGGGCACGAACCCGTGTCCCCTACATCGGCAGGCGGACTCTCAACCACTGCGCCACCAGGGAAGCCCTGTATTCTTTAAATTACTAAGTAATACCACTGCCCTACTATTTCATACAGAATTACTCACAAAGCCTGTAATGGAGCATAGTACAATTCTGATCATGTACAACATAGGGAAAAACTAAGACCCAGAAATACTAAATTACTTGCCAAAGGCCTGAGAAAAACTTAAAGACAAAACAGAAAATAGCATTTGGAACCTATTATTACAGTTAACTGATAAATTGAATGCAATTTCCCAGTGATATTAAAAAATTATACATGTAAATTAATATATACATATATACAAATAACTGAAATAGAAAGGAAAAAATAAGAACTTTTTTATACAGCCTGAATTACATAGAGAAGTGTGGTTTCAAAATCAAAACTGCTAAACTGCTGATTCTAAAGAGTCATGTATATTAGTTCAAAGGAACTTGAGAAAATACAGTAAATTCAATAAAAAATTAAGTAAATTAATTAAATTATGATCCAAGAAGTTTAATTTTATAAGAGAACTTAATAGACATACATAGTAAGTATAATGATCAAGCACTGAAATATATCTTTAGGGAAAATAAAGTGTAATTTAAAATGTCTTAAAATAAAGTTAAAAATAGCATGTATACATAATATTTAAGATGCAACTTAATCATAAAAGTGTGGGCTTTTGGGACAGATTTGCAAAAATGATGGTGCCAATTACTAAATAAAAAAGATGTTAAGGGAAATGGCAGATATTAGTAAGAGTACCTTTTTAAACACATGAAATTCTACATAAAATTCTTCTTTATCCCAAGAGCAATGTGCTTAAACTGAATGTGTTATATGTATATGTGTGTGTGTGTGTGTGTGTGTGTGTGTATTTAAAGAACAATCATATTATAACCATAAAACACTTGATGGCACTGCTTTATATCCAGCTTGTTTTATCCTCAGAAACATTATTAATATATAATATTTATAAAACATTTAATTCCCTCTTCATAACCTTTTTAATACCTTTGCATAAAATCTGTGATGTTATCTTCTTAACAAGGCAAAACCAAGGAAAAAGACTTTGTATATCCATCATTTCTAGAGTAACAAAAATATCTTTACCTTTCATGAGGCTTTCACAAAAATCCCAGATACTGGAATGTTATAATAATGCAATTAAGGATGAAAATTTTATAACAGGAACTAATTAAATGAGAGGAAAGGCTAATATTAATTAAAAGTCTTATCAAGAATCAAAGAAAGATGATACCTATTTTTTTTTTTTTTTTTTTTTTTTTTTGTTGCAGTACGCAGGCCTCTCACTGTTGTGGACTCTCCCGTGTGCAGCACAAGCTCCGGACACACAGGCTCAGCGGCCATGGCTCATGGGCCTAGCCGCTCTGCGGCATGTGGGATCTTTCCGGACCGGGGCACGAACCCGTGTCCCCTGCATCGGCAGGCGGACTCTCAACCACTGCGCCACCAGGGAAGCCCGATACCTATTTTTTTTAAAACAACTATATAATACAATGTCTTGGAGATGCTCTTGTATTAAGTGGCTTTTAAAATAAAATTGTACTTATTTCCTAGGTTCTTTCTTTCAAATACATGACCAAAAAAATAAATAAAAACCTGGCAAAAACATATAGGGCCTATAGCAACAAGGCCTGAATCAAGCTACTATCTTAAAAAAATAAATTAGAGGTAGATATTTACATAGGTTTAAGTAATTAAAGAGTACAACCAGGTCTTTTAAGTTTTTAACTAGTGTTTCAAAATGATCATGCCCTATAATGCCACCCTCAACCCCCATGGGAATTTTCTTCTAGACTGAATTTTTGTTCATTACGTAAGACTGTTTTTATAAATTTTTTTATTTTTGTTGTTTTATGTACTCCACTCTGTTATGCTTATGCTTTCTTTTTTTACATGAATCAGAAAATTATGCTGCAGTCAGAATTATTCATGTGTATCTTCTGACATTAGAACTAATTTACCTTAAACTTAAATGAGTTTAACCTCCAGGAGAGCTCTCATGATATTCTACATAAACTACGTCAAAAAACAGTGGCCTATTATGATAGATTTTCTCAACTTTGTTGAAGCACTTTGTATTTCTTCACTGGAATTTTTACTTTCTCATTACCTTCCTCAGCGACATTATAAAAACCTCATGAAATTTAAAACCAGGTGCCTTTACTTGAGGAATTAAAACAAACAAATTATACTTTTAATGACATCATTTTGGAAGCAAATATTTAAAATCCTGTAACAATACTAATAAGCATTTTATCAACTTACTCTTTTTGAAACATATAATTTCTGTGCCATGAGTTAGTTTAATAGGGCTTTATCAAAAGACAATTTTTGAAGGAAATCAGAAAGCGTTCCTGTAACATACTAAAAGATTCTTTGTGTCACTGTCCTTTGAAAAGAGGATACCTCTTTTATTTAGGTGAGGTCTCCTTTTGATCACTCCCCCCACTCCTTCATCTCACCCAGGGCTTTGAGCAATTTCTTCATCTCAGCAAGAGAGGCAAATGGCTAAAATTAGCAGTCTCTGCTCCCTCAGGAATAGCCACTGTGCTGTATCAGCTGAGATTCCTGATTAGAATTATGTCTGATTTTTAAAAAAAAAAAAGTAACAAAACAAAACAAAGAAGCAAAGAAGAAAACCAAACAAAAAACAAAAAATGTCTATCTAGGCCATCTTTTCACCTTTCTTTATTTCATAAGAGAGAAGCATTTAACACATTGTTTTGAAAAATGATAAGGAAGTGCTAGTGAAGTTTTTGTCAAGAAAACGTATCTGTCATCATTATCTCTAATAAACTTCAACTTTTATAATATGCTAACAGAACTTAGTAATTTTATTGTTTTATGAGATAAAACAATAATCTTAGCACAAAGGGTTTGGATCAAATTATATATTTTTGTGGCCTCTATATACAGAGCAAGGTCAACTTCCCTTGTCAATGGGAAATTAATTCTCTTTTGTTCAAAATCCAGATAATCACTCTTAACTACATCTAAATCCAGAGAATAACCATGTGTGGCAGGTTACTAAGTGGATGAAATCTGTTTCTGAAGTACTGTTTCCACTCAATAAGACTTTAAGAAAGGTCCTATGCTGTGATTTGTTTTACCCATTATATCTGTGATGAGAAAATGATGAAGATGGAGCCTTAATCCCCCAAAGCCAAGGTCTCAGCATCCAGCTTACCTGACAAGGTTTTCATTGTCTCCAGTTCCCTTGCAAGTTGCACATTCAGTTCGTAAATCCTCAGCCTTGGGCTTCTTTTGTAACACAGACTGCCTTTGTCTCCTCTCTCTAGGAACTCTCTCCTGCCATACAAGGGAGGATGAAACAAAACATAAAATCAGGATATGAGGAAAACAGAAATAATTTTAAGCAAGAAAGTTTCTCAAATTTAGATTGTGTAAAATATGCTTAACTTATTCCAACCTCATGTTTTTCTTCCTCAGGAATGAAGCTTCGTTTTCGTCCTCTGGTTCTCTAAAAAAAAAAAAAAAAAGAAAAAGAAAGAAAAAAAAAAGAAAAATCCACAAAAATATCTAATGTTTAATTAATAATAAAAATAAATTTTCTCTGTTAAATGTTACTGCTTCAGTTAAGCACTTGGAAAATTAGCATTTCTAATTAATGCTGTACTGCTCTATTGCACTTTATTACAATTTATACCAGAGGAAATAAACACAAGACAAATACACTCAACAGTGACAGTGTTTTACTGTTAAATAACACAGGTATCTGATAAGAAAAATAAGTTCTACAAAATTAGCTTGAATATTTCTGAACACCTCATACACATCACACAATGATGATTTATGCAGAACATTTAAATTTTCATAACTTACACGACTTCTAGAGCTAAAATGCTAAACCTGGACTCACATCTATTGTATGCCTCTGTGTGTGTGTGCGTGCATGCACAAACATGTTTGAATAACATAAAGAAACAATCTTTAACAGCTGTAAAAAAGTGGGAGGCAAAGGTCTCAGATGTCTCCCAATCCTAGTTAAAATAAAACTAACTAAAAAAAAACATGGTATAAGTGACTCAAGCTTATTTACTTAAAATTTATATCCTGTATTTTGGAACACATTTCCCATTTGAAAGATGACATCCATATGTTTGAAAGTAATATAAGTACAAAAGGATTTGCAAGCAATACAATAAAAATCTCCACCCATGTAGCACAGCCTCTGGAGGTTTATAATCCCCATGTGAAGATCACTGCTCTTTAGAGAGAATGGAAGAAAAAGGAGGCACCACTCCCCAAAATTACTTTACCTGACTGTTGAGATCAAAGATCATTCCCATGTTAGAGTAGGTACCAAATAATTCTAAAGAGAATTGCTGTCCAATATAAAAAACATTAATGTTTTTCTAAATTACTGTCATTTCAATTCTCTACAATACCGAGTCACTTGTGATTCAGTACCCAGGCTAACTGCACTCTGTTTAATCTGCCCCTAGATAACCAAGAGTTGACTAAATTAGCCGTTCAAAATAAGTAAATTTATAGACTACATATTCATTTACATTTATATTGCCAATCAGTATGTTTTAATTACATTATGGAAGAAATAAGGAAGAAAAAGTAAGACTATACCTAGGAAAAGGTTTTAAATGCAGGCCCTAAATCTGTTCTTACTTCCAAAGAATTAGTACTAAGCCTTGCTCCTCAAAATATCAATCATGGTTCATAAGCACTGGCATCCCCAGGGAGTTAGTTAGAAATGAAGAATCTCACGCCCGGAACAACATACTGAATTAGAACCTGCCATTTAAAAAGATCCCCAAGTAAGTCATATGCACATTAAAGTTTGAAAACAGTCCTTAATATTGACAACACTTCTCCAAGTCCTAATTAAAACGTTATGGCTAGCCCTTTGTATAGTCATCTTTCCCCTCTGTGACACTCCTTTCCTCATGCTTCAATTTCTGCCCCCCAGTGCAATTTATCCCAAAACTGGTAAGGACCATGTCATATTCATCTTTCTAGACTTAAATTTAATACAATACATATTACATAAAAGTTCAATAAATTTGTTTTACTAAAATAATAAGTGTTTCGATTGAAACTCACAGATGAACACTCTAGATAATACAAATGATAAAACTGACAAAAAGGGTAAATTATTGTTCCCTTCTCTGGTAATCTATTTTCAATTTGCATAATTTATGCATATAGCCATCCCTTTCAAAAAGGTGATCAAAATTAATAACCAATATCAAAGGGAAAATATTCAAATTACTTATCTTAATTCTATAAACATCTAAAGAATGCTCAAAAGGCCTTCACACATTTCCATATTTCTCTTCATTCAACCCATCTTTTGTTGAGTCATCTAGTTTTTGAATCATCTAATCACTGAATTAATTTTTGAAGTATATGTGTGAATGCTCCAAGTTCATGTTTTCAATTCTTTTGAAGATATATAATTATTTACCATTTCTGATTAATACTTTAAATCTTTGAACATCTGGTTTGATTCCATCAATTGGAAGTTCTTCAAACTCATACTGCAGTTAGCATCAAAAAGCATAATGCCACAGAATGATCCTATCACACAATGACATAGTTACATACCTCTGCATTTATAAATTCCTTTTTATTATATCTTATTAAAGTAATATTTTTAAATGAATAAAAACATAATTATCTAAAACAGTCATTTTAAATGCATGTATCAATATTACAAAAAGGTAATCATTGATGTATTCCTGCAGTAATTTTAAATAACTAAACATAAGCAACATAAACAAATTCTAGCCAGAAAACCAGAGTTGTAACAAGCAAAACGAAATTACAGCATCTTAGAGCTCTGAGATAGCAGGCCAGGGAAATGCCTTGATGATCACACAGCTGAAAACTGACAGAGGTAACTTCAACCCAGGTCTCTCAACTCTCAATTCAGTGATTTTTCTTGCATGACAAATCTAAGATTAATAATCTAATCCCAAGTAGAGATGAGCAAATTATCATAAGAAAGCAAATCTCTTATTCTCACTTGAATATGTAAATAAACTGTAATACCGTGACACGTAAATGAAGAGTTTTTATATTTTGAAACAAGTAAATGAGACAATTTACCCAATGGAGAGGAGACCTCAATACTTCAAACTGACACTATATTCTATCCAATTTGGTACCTTATACATACAACGACTAACATGATCCATTACCGAAATAACATGCAGCAAGCCTTAGCATTTATCACACAACTAGTATTTCCAAAAATTGAAAATAAGAGGATTTAATCCAAACACAATGTTTCACAATATCAAGTTCCCCAACCAAGAAAATGCTGAGAGTTGTGGGGGTTTTTTCTAGTTTTAATGAAGTGGCAGCAACTGTAACTGTTATAACTCATACCTGCCTACAATCATAACAGATAAGATATCTTAAACATGGTATCCCTGAATGAATCAGAAAATATAAGAGGAATTAAAAAGAGGGAGAAACAATGGAAAAAAGAAAAAACCCATGCTTGGCTCATCCAACAAATTTCAATAATCAAATAATAATTTCAATAATCAAAGAGCTTGCCCCATCTTAGATGTACAGAAGTATTTGTAACCAGGTTGTCATTTCATGGTATACATTGAGGCTGACACTATTTTAGAAACAAGATAAATAAAGCAGAAGGGAGAACACAGGGTGTGGAAGAAGGAAAAACATTATTTAACAAGTATGTGCTTTAGAACTTAACACAGATAAATTATCTAGACATTCCAAATGATTGACAGTATATTTCCAAATTGTGCTTCCTTTTGCAATTATTAAACTGTTAAAAGTAAATGAAAGTTTGAAAATCATTCCAAATTTTGACACATTTCTATTTTTTTCTTCTTTGCTAGTTTTTAAGAACTTTATTTTCTTAGAGAACACTGACAATCTGAGCTGCTTAGATCATCTGGCTCTTTATCTGTACATTTACTTGAAAACAGGATGTGATAAACTCATCCACAAAGAGTGGCATGATATTAGAGACAATGTATCTAAGTTAGGAGAGAATAAAACATTTTTAACTATAGGCATCATTTTAATAGCTTATTCACCTAAAACAAATAATTAAATGTTTCAATAACTTCACTCATTTGGACTAGAAAACATGCAACAAATTTTAATTAATTGTTTAGAGCTGGGTTGTTTTAATTTATAATTAAGTCAGATGCATGATGATTTTTCCAAGGTTAGAATGATTCATTTCACAAATGAACTAAATTTAAAACTAAAAGACAGTGTCTCAGCATCTTTGAGATCACTAAGATGGATTTCACATATTCATTTGTACACTGATTTCTCTAAATTCAACACTTATTTTTTTGATGACAAATCAATATTTATACAAATGACAATAAATAAGCCATACATGGTTAGATGAAACATAAAGATACCCTCCTACATAATTTACATATAAAAAGAGAAAATGCTTATTTATGAGAAAATTCCAAATTCAATGTTAATTAGGACAACAGTCAAACCTTGAAAACCTGTCAAGCTAAAATATCTTCAGATTTATGCTGAGGAATAAATGTCGGGGCTGTCTGGCAGCTGTTCAAAATGCTTCAATGAAATATAAACAGTATATATATTTCCTTAAAAAGTAAGTATTTGTTTTCCAATTATAAAACAATATATTGAAAACAATCATATATTAAAGCTAATAAAATATTCAAAAGAAAAATGTTATATATATAAACAAAGTGTGAACAAAAGCACCACCGGTTTCCGTTGGGCTATTGGCATACAACAGATGGAATGGTGATCCCCCAAAATGAGTGTTTTCCCTTCTTGTCAGTTGGCTGTAGAGTTTCTTTTTATCTAATCTAATTTATATTAACAGGGTTAGGAAAAGAGGTGGAAAATAAAAAGAACATCATGATCTAATTGGCTTAAAACTATAAATTAAAATAACCACAAGCCTAAAAATATAAAAGATACATCCTACATAATAAATGTTTCTATAAAACTCTTCTTATAGATAACGGTATATTCAAAATAAGTAAAATCCTGAAGCTCTGCCTCGTCCTTGTTCCCTTTATTCCATGCTCCTGGAAATAAATTAAAATGATGAATTTCCAAGAGGCAAAAAGCATAGCAGGAGCCTTTGGGTTCTGAATACGATTACTTGACCTAAGGACACCCACAGGGGATCTCTTCCAAGTGAGCCAAAGTGACTTAAGTATGGTTTAGTTCACCACAAAAATTTTTGCTAGGGTTTCTTCTAAGGTTCTGTGACAGACACAGGTTATATAATCTGTTTAGTACTTCAGAGGTCACCTTGGGTCTGATAATAAACTCAATAATAACTCTGATATCTAAAGCCCCCATGTATAACCCTTTCTTCCCAGAACTGCATTAATTTAATCAAAACAATTAGTATAAAGATAACAAGTAAATTAAGACATGGGCATCATGAATGCCTAGTACACTTTAATCATTTCAATAGGGCTGAATCTAAACGTTTCTATATTTCTACTG